TTAGCAGGAGAGTGAGTGTGAGTGACGCCGTGACAGCTGTTCTTTATTGCGCAGATTCGTCGCAGTGGGAGAAGCTATCGCTGACGAGCATCCTGAGATCAGACAGGACATGTACGAAGCCTGCAAGGAAGCTCACATGTCAGGTACAGCCAGAGGAGGCATCGTCAGGGCAACGGGAGGCAGGAGGGTGACTCAGTGCACGAAATTAGGGATATTTTGCCCGCTTCCGCCGGTTTAACCCCCCATATAATCAGTCCACTTGGTCTATTCAAAATTGTGCCTATCTTGCCGTTATATCAACAATATTTACCGATTTCCTGACTAGTTTTTACTTAGTGACTACTAAGAAGTAAATCATGTTCCAGCAATTCCTGTAAAACAAGTAGAACTCCACTGATAGCAATGAAATTGACTGAAATACTATGAATATGCCTAATAAACACAATACTTTTATTAATAAATTATAATGGAATAAATTGAACAAAATAAAGGGCCTGTTCAAACATGTAAAAGCCCTGTTCAATTTGTCTGAGGGCCTGTTTAAAATTTTGAGTGGCCCTGTTCGCTAATTTGCCCAAGTGGCCCTGCCCTGGTGACTCATGGCCGATTCGTAGTTAGGGACAAAATGTTTTTAGCTCGAAAAAGCATCCAAACGTGATAACAAGAGATGATCGAAAAACAGAAGAACCAATCTGCAGTAATAGATTTGGCCTCGTCCACTTTCGTTAGTTCTACAGGTTATTTGGCTCTATAATTGGAAGAGGTTTGGCATGTAGCGTTTTAGCAGAATCATTCCCAGCAGATTTAAATAATATGCAGAGGAGATGAAATAAGAAAAGGTTTTGATATAAGATGTACAGAATGGTAAATGCAAATCGGATTCGTTATCGTTGGACACTCTGCCCTGAGGCTGATGGCTTGGGTACTCGTGGGAGCAGTTGGCTGCAACGCTCTTATCCGCATCTGTCTTCACTGTCTATCTCGACCGTAGGAAGCCATTAGGCAGATGCGCAGCTCGGCAGATAAGTAATTGGTCGGATAGAGATCAACACTTAAGATATTCAGACGGCCAGTGTGTGCATTTCGACTGCTGCGGAGTTTACACACGACTCTCCACACACTTCCGGCTTCCACATATCCACGAAAGATGTTTGTTATAGGAATCGCATTTAAGCGCTGTAGAGCTGTGTGCATACTGCTGGTATGTGTTAATACAGCTGTACTAGACGTTTATACGTGTGTTTGCTGTCACAGGCTCACCATAGAGAAGCCAACTGTCATGTCTGAAGTCGTGTCTGAACCGCAGATGTGCTAATCCACTCTGGATGTGCATGCGTGCGTGCGTGAGTGCGTGAGTGCGTGCGTGAGTGCGTGCGTGCATGTGTGTGTGTGTGCGTGCGTGCGTGTGTGTGTGCGTGCGTGCGTGCGTTTAAAGCTTGGTGAAAACTGCAGACACACTATTCCATGATCGGTGCGTGCGTGCGTGCGTGCGTTCGTGAGTGCATGCTCTGTGCGTGCGTGCGTGCGTGCGTGCGTACGTGCGTGTGTACATGCGCATGTGCGTGCATACTTGAGTGTGTGCGTGCATGTGTGCGTGTGTGCGTGCATAAGTGCGTGCGTGTGTGCGTGTATGTATGTGTGCGTGTTTGCTGTCGCAGGCTCAACCACAGAGAAGCCAACTCTGCCTTCTAAAGCTGTGTGCAAACCACAGGCACTAATCCACGCACTTGACGCACTTGCGTGTGTTTTTCGTTGCAGGCTCGGCGATAGCTAAGCTAACCGACATGAGGTGGGACGATCAGAGCAGCCGTGCCGTGGGGCTTGCGGAGAAGGTGGTCATGATCAAGGCGGCACGCTCCCTGCTCTCCGCTATCACACACGTGCTCGTGCTTGCTGACAAAATCGTCGTCAAACAGCTGCTGCAGGTCCAGGACAAGGTACTGACACCCTGCATCCCTGCCAGTATAGTCACTGGACTCAGTACTGCATCCCTGCCAGTATAGTCACTGGACTCAGTACTGCATCCCTGCCAGTATAGGTACTGGACTCAGTACTGCATCCCTGCCAGTATCGTCACTGGACTCAGTACTGCATCCCTGCCAGTACCCCTCCCATGTCCTGCTCTGGTATGAGGGGCTTCGCCCCCCATTCAGTGGTCTACGGCCACTGTTGTCCGAGTGCGTGTCCGAGTGTCTTATTATTTTCCTATTTTTTGGACAAATACCACTTACATCTCTGTCTTCCTCCTGCCTCCTGTGTTATCATGGGACTAAAATCCTACTCTAAGAAGTTTAACCTGCCGGCGCATGGTAGAATATGCGCGCATCTGTGAAAACACGTTGTCTGTCACATCTGCTTTGTTTCAGGTGGCCGGCAGTCTGGACCGGCTAGAGCAGGTGACCAACTTCACCGAGTTTGTGAATGTCTTCAGCCAGTTCGGTCAGGAGATGGTTGAGCTGGCACACTTAACGGGTGACAGGCAAAACGTAGGCGTTATTCGTACTGTTTGCAGTGCAGTGCAGTGAGGCTACTATGATTATTGATATGATGTTCCATTTTAATATATAATAATAAATTAACATTTTTGTAGTTGCAATTTGCAGGTTAATTTTGGGGCCCCTAAGAACCAAATTTAGTGGAAAAATTTTGCCTTGAAAATCTTCTGTTGCTGCATATTTCATCTAAAATTGCCAGCACCGGTGACACAAGAATTTATGTTGATTCGATGTTGTCATGAA